GTCTTCTTTTCGTTGCTTGCAATTTCCTGAAATGATCTCATTCATTCATCAGGCTTAACTCTATCTCCTGACCCTAACTTTGCATTTCGCTATTCTCTTGCTTCCTTTCACATAAAGTAAAAAGGATCACATTGGCTTGTTTCCAGGGATTTGAGCGCGCGTCCCGCCAGCTAATTGGCCAGTCTTTTGCGCGCCGGCTTTACCACTTTATACAGTTTTAACTCAAACCGTAGCATCACCTAGCCCTTTCTAAATCGGCTCCCTCCCCGCTTTAGGGAAAAGTAAATGAAGATATTTAATATTTAAGAGAGAATGATACGCAGTGGAGGCAGTCTGTAGACGAGCTTTTGACGAATTACAAGCCGGGTCGACAGGTCAGTTGTTCAATCTTCATAGCAGGTAAATACGAGGGCCTTTTGTAATCATAAGCAGATATCAAAGTTTGGTTGTTGCAGATTTTATAAATACACAATCCAAACTGCCTAGAATGGCTAACGAATGCTTAAGATTAGCGCGAGGTCTATACTTTCATCTATTGGCTTTACTTCGTGCCATTAATATAAGAAGATATAAAAAGGTATATTGTTAGTAAATAAGTAATAAGCATTCGTAAGTCTCGAGAGATTATGCAGTCTTTTGGCGGGGTGGAGATTATGCAGTATTTTAGGGGGTAGAGATTATGCAGTCTTTTAGGGCGGAATCCCTGTTTCAGACGCCTGCTGATTCATTCAACACCCGAACATTTGCTTAATATTGTAATATATAAGCAAATCTTAGTTACAGTTTCGGGTATTAGTTGAACAAGGCCAGTACACTAAAATAAAATCGTGCTAACGAATAATAGAATTTCACTCACAAGCTTGAATCAACTCGTAGAGTTTTGCTGAATAAATGATTGGTTTATCAACATTAGTGACAATTATTTGTGGATTTGATTTCACTTTTAAGATGACACTCATTTTTTGTTCATTGCTAAAAAAAATTCGGTTAATTCATACAAGAAAAAAAAAAAAAGAAGATCCTTGCTATATGAATATTTCTATTCTCGGGATCGTTTTTATGTGTAAGAGAGAACTGATTTTCAGCTAAATTGTTTTTATCATTAAAAAAGAACTATTCAGGTTTGGATTAGGTGAGTTTTTTAAAACCGTTTGTCAATCCGAGTGACTTTTATGTAATTTCAACATGAACGAGCGTAGATTGTTCTCGATTTTATGTCCAAGTCTATATATATACAGGGTGCGATGACTAAATTTTCGTCTAAGTTACGCAAAAATGAAAATAACACTGACATATTATTTTAACAGATATATTTAACAAAATTACCCCAAAATATCTTACAAAACTAAAGAGTAAATTCATTCAATAAAATTGCCATTGGCTTCACCCACGACCTCCAGACAACTCGGAATCTCCAGCATCTCTTCTGGACGGTCTCCTTGTTTAGGCTGGTGAATGTTGTCATAATCGTTGCCTTCAGCTCATCTTTAGTGTTACAAGGAGTTTCGTCAGTCTATCACACAACTGCACCCAACACGTAATAATAAAGTGGGTTGCAGCCTTGGTAGTTGGGCAGCCAGATTTAAGGTATGATGTGGTCGCGGAAATTGTCTGACTGCCATGACTGGGTTCTCGTGCTTGTATGGCATGGTTCAGAGTGCTGTTGCCAGACATAGGTTTTTCTTCCAGCTGCCACACTCTTGACCCAGGGCAGCACTACCACCTCAAGGCATTAATGTAGACCTCCGTGGTGAGGCTGAGTCTCTGTGAGAAGATGAATGGAGCCGTAACTTCACTATCACCATCACTAGCGATCATTCCAAACACCATCATTCTGACTGGATATATCATCCAACTCTTTCGCAATCCTCTGCACTTTTCTCAGACTGAGGCACAAACACTCTGAAATGCTTGTATTGCAGCCTCTGGCGTGAAAGTCAAGCCGTACAGCATGCCGTTTCCAAATTTCTGGCGAAGTTATCTTTTTCTCACAGATGGTGCCCAACTGACCCTACTTTAATGTGCAGTCGACAAAATCAAAAGCAAACAACGCAATCAGAGGAAACGAGGCAAGCAATAACTGAGTGATATTAAATACGAACTAAAATAGTTTCCCCTACCCAGTAGAACGAAAACAGATTAAATAAAGGGTTCAGTTCCAAATTCCATTAAGATTACCAAAACCAACAAGTACCTGATGAAAGCTGGAGGTCACAACGGCCAAATCAATGAGTTAATAACAACAAAGATGAGGACAATAGTTCGCGAATAAATAATGAAAAGAATGATAACTCTAGAAATTCAAACAGAAGTAAGGCAAAATGTGTTTTTCCTCTAGCTCATAAAGCGAGACTCTGAATGTGACAGGTTTTGTGAAAATGACACAAGCTTCCGATCCAAGCTTCATTATCACTTTACCTCGTCAACTATTTGAGACATTATCATCGCTGATGTCATGAAACAGAATCGATATAAAAATGTATTTTTCTTTTTTTAATTCATCATTTAAACAAGCTAAGTGTTCATATCGATAAATAGTTTATCTACTTTTCAGTAATGCTTAACAAAAGACCGTCTTTAAATCAAACAAAACATAGGGAATAATTTTTTCACTAGTAGATTTGCTCTCCATTGAAAAATATAGGTTTTTCATCATTTTAGAAGAGGAGCATCTTCCATAATATAAATAGGGCGTCAAATCCATCCTAGGCTTCTTAAAATGTCATCTTTACTCGGTTTATATTTAAAATGCTAAGTTCACAACTGCTTACATCATTAATAACTGCGTACTATTGATATCCTTTTTCTGCATCAGAAATAATAATGTAGTTATCAATTACGCAAGCACAATTTCTAATATAAAATTTGCAAATAGAAATAAAGTACATATAACTCTTTAAAGAGCCAGGAATCCATTTTGCACTATTTATTTCAGGATGAACAGGGCACATGCTTCTAAAATGATTAAAAATTCAATATTCTTCTTTTCTGAGAAATGTCCGGCGAATATCTAATGATGCTAATCTAGAAAACAGTTTTAAATAATCTTCCTTAATTTTTACAAGCGGACCAGTTAATCTAAGTAGTGTCGAATAAGGAAATGTTTACTTGAAACGTTTGTGATCCAACTAAATAAAGAATATTTGATGGATTTGAAGTCGTCAATTTGTAACTATTTTATGGCTTTCATTCTAATATAACAGCAGATAGGAAACATTCTGTTTGGAAATAATTTTTAAAACTAAAAACTATCGACTAACTCACCCCCATCGACTCAAAAAGACTATAACAACAAGAAAAAAACAGTTGGGCAAATTCAGTCGTAATCTTGTTAAAAAAAATCTTGATCGTTTTTTAAATGTAGGATTTTGAAAAATCAGACATTTTAAATCTCTTTCTGTCTTTTTTGTCTTCTTATTTGCATTAAGCACTGAGTCAAGTCAAGTATTTGATTTGGTAAACAGGAAAGAAATGCAGAAAAAGTTGGTCTTAACGTATGGTAATTTAATGGCGATGGGTAAGGGTGGGGGGCGTTTTATTGATAGTCTGACCGAATTATTCAATGGATGGGAAGGTTGTCGGAACACGGGAAAATATGAACAGACAAGAAAATGGAAAGTTGATTCGTAACAGTTAAAATAATCTGAACTCGGTGAGGTAGGCGTGGTCACATTTCGATTTACTTTGTTCTTGGGAAAAAATTTTGAATTAATTTCTTCTTTGCTGCAGCTATAGATAAAATAGCAGAGCAGACTAAGATCTCTAGCCTTACGTAGCAACCAATCACACCAAAATCCGAAGCTATACTGTAATAGCTTTTATCGCAATTACAATGTGACTTCGGATTTCGGTGTCACATTTTGAATCATCTGTTAAAATATTTTCCAGATATTTCTGTATTAGCTTATTGAGGTTTCTACTTTTGTTTCTCGAATCTTGGTTTGTATTGAAATGACCTTGGGTTGGCAAGTTATTAGAAAGGACGCTAGACAACGCAGAAACCCTTAGAAATTATTACATCTCGGCCATCTGAAAAGAGCTGACGGTCGTAAATTTACACCGAGGAAGTAGGATTCCTGTCAGTAATTCTTTTCTCATAGGATGACGACTATTCCACTATTCCACAGCTCTTGTTTCGGATGTTTGGGCCAACATAAGAGAAAAGCATTGAAACTTGTGAAAACTGATCCTGTAACTCTATTGCATGGCTTCATTATAAATGTTCTTTGCAGCATTGATTGTTTGCCACTGGCTGTTGTTTACAAAAGCAAAACGGAAAACGATCATTATTATATATATATATATATATATATATATATATATATATATATATATATATATATTTGTTTGAATAAAAACAGACCACGTTAAGATTCCATGTAATAAGCTATTTCACCATAACTCCTTTAACAGGGTTCTGGATCATCAGATTTTACTTCCAAAAGCTGAAATGAAAAATGAAAAGAAATTCACACGTTTTTGACGGACCTCATCAAGTATACGTAAAATTAACCAAGTGAGGAAGTGAGGTGGGAGAGAGGATATGAGTGTGTCATATGTAGCATTTCAATTTCCTATTTTTAACCCCAGTGTGTGTGTGTATATATATATATATATATATATATATATATATATATATATATATATATAACATTTCACATATAACAAAAATATATCTGTTAAAGGAAAATATGCATAATAAAGACAAGAGTGAAAATAAACTTAACCGATGCGTTTCGTTCTCTTATTGACTTTATTATGGCATTTGCCTTGGCAAAATGCATCAGAAAAAAATGCATCTGCTAATTTTTCCTTTTTGTTTTTATAATTCGCTTATAAGTATATATATATATATATATATATATATATATATATATATATATATATATATATATATATATATATATATATATATATATATATATATATATATATATATATATATATATATATATATATATATATATATCAGTTCATATCTATCTATATATATATCTCAGTTCATATCTATCTATCTATCTATCTATCTATCTATCTATCTATCTATCTATCTATCTATCTATTTATTTATCAAGCCTGCACGCACAAACACACAACCGCTGCGTGGGAATACTATAGGTGGTGTAAGCTTGGTTGTGCGGAGGTGGAGGTGTAGCGAATGTAAAGAATAACTGTCCGCTATTGGAGAGTCGAGTTCCAATCTCAATTTCGAATTCTTTATATTCCATTGGGAAATGAATGAATCAACCCCTTCTCTGTATCATTATATCTCTAAAATAATACAATTACGTACAAAATATTTAGATTTCGACATTGAATAACCCATAGAGGTATTAATGTTCCGCTAAACTAACAATCACAGCCATTCATATTTTTATACACTATGACTTTATTACGCATCTCAGTTTTTTCAAAATACAATTGGTATTATTCAACTGATGTCAGAAAAACTTTCAGGAATGCCCGATCTGACATATTGTATTACTAATATCTTTCTTTTCTGAAAGGTCAGTTTTTATTATTTAAATTAAATACAAATTAAATTTCTCTTTACATGTAAATATATTATGAAATGGACTAAGTCCGACAATTATTATTATATTATAAAAATAACGTGTAAACAAAAAATCTATTAATATTTATACGTTATTTATATACATATAAATATTTAAGTAAATCATCTGTTTATAATAAACAGTATTAACATTTACCAGTCTGAATGTCCGAGAAATCTTAAAGAAAACATGTGTCCTCCGACAGGAATCGAACTTGTACCCTACACGGAAACGCCACATTATACTGTTTTTGAACTACAAACTTCTCATGTTTTCTCTCGAACGCTCCTATCTGCTCGAAGCGGATCTTAAACAAAACAGTAATTAACAATGCTAACCAGGCGCTTCCTCTGTAGATTAATGGTATAGCACGTCATACTATATGATGTTTTCTTACACAAGTAAATATAAAAAATACAGGGCATTGAAAATATATTTAACGCACTATCACATATACGTGAATAAATTGTTATTATGTCACATTCCCTGGCCTTCTGTAATCTTCATCTGTTTTGTATCTTTTTAGATATTTCTGATTTTAAAATTACTTTAATTTTTTATTATTTCCCAGAGATCTTTGCTTGAATATTTTTAATATCAATTTTCTTGATGTGCTTTTTTTTTTTATTTTCGATTGGATTAGATTAGAGTAACTTTTATTAATTTTGTGTCTTTGAAACATTTTTACAAAATAATCTATTTTCAGTTAATCAGAATCTGAAAAAGGAATTGTCATGCATTAATCTACAATTTAACTTAAAAATTCTTGGTTTTTCAAATATATTGGTGTATATCTTGGAAACAGAATCTTTTACAAGATCTTTAATTTTACATTATTTAAATTATTCGGACTATTGCAAATATTTATTACAACGTTTCGACCGTTGTACGCTCCGGTTGGAATGTCGAACTGAACCCTTTATTCAACTCACTGGGGTAGACTGTTCTAGTTACACGTGCCATGTTTAATGGATGTCAGTTATCAGTTATCTTCTTTTAATTTCCCTCTGAACGTCCATTGCCTTAACACACTCTTTGGGTCCTGTCACAGGATCTAACTAACGCCTTTATCCACCTAGCCATATGTCCTTGAGGACATCTGTGTATGAATTTCTGGGTATTATAAACCTAATGTCATCAGCCACCATTTTTTAACCAGTGTTCATATTGCAATTTTTGCTGTTATCATTGCATGTTTTTACCAGATCTCATATTGCAATTTTTGTTATTATTATTGCTTTTCTCTGGCATTCCTTATTACTGGTTCCTATATTGTATTCATTTCTATGCTTGGTCGGCTCAGGAGATTTTTATGGCCTATATGCGCTGATTCGTTCTAATAAATATGACGACAATGATGAGGACAATAGTCCGAATAATGTAAATACCTCATCTCATAAATATAGACAAATACCTATAATTTTATTTCCTTCAATACTAGTCCAAAATATTACACTTGTCTTGTATGTTGTTTTGGTTGACAATATGGTTGACTATATAATATTCGTCCTCGTCGGCATCCGTCCGTCTCGAGAGACGATGGAGTAGCGCAGTGCGCTCCGAGCCTGGGCGGGATATATAAAGAACTAGAGCTACCCGGACGTCTCGTTCCCCCTCTCGGCCTTGCTAGCAGAGTCCAAAGGAGAGGATGAACCAATACAGTTTGGTACCAACGCGGCTGCAGAAGTTGCCGGAAAGTAGCACAGAGTGTCGTCCATCCGCCTTAGGGGCCCCACTCCGGGTTTGAATTCAGAGTTGTCCTTCTCCTAGACCAGTTGCAATCAAAGGCTATAGAACACAGTCTGTCCTGCTATTTACCCATAGTTGGAGGGAAAAAGATGTGAATGTATTGGATTCGACTGGAATTCGAACTCGGCTCTCCGATTTCTCAATCCAAGCTGCTATCCATTACCTCACCGTGCCTCCTCATATAAAATATACTCTTACAATAATCATATATTGTTACAATAATATAGCCTTATAGTTTTTATGTTCTTCTTATGCATAATGCTTACCATTTTAATTTTAATTGCTGCTTTCAAATGACATTTAAAATATCCTTTTTTATCTATCTAAAATTTCGAAGATAAATTCCATTAACATTAATATATATTTACTCACAATATAATCAACTTTCCAACTGCATAAAATCAAGCATCACTAAATGATTTATTGTAAATATTTCAAATAAAAACTGAAATTATTGGCTAAAAATATCATGGAATATTTGGTATAAGGATATAATTATATTCTTAATGTTTTACTAATACCGTTTGGTTAATTAGGGTTTTATTGTGAAAACATTGATTGCATTATCAAATGTGACGTTTATATATGAGTACAGAAACAAATAAAAATTGCTGCAAACATGAAAGAGACGAGAGAAAGACTGCGAGCAAAATAGATTGTTAATTAAGGAGAGATATTTGAAAAGAAAAGATGGATAAATCTTTATTTTGGCACGCATTGATTGTTGGAAATACAACAATTCTGAATACAGTCATTGATCATCTAAAAAATATTTGAGCATATAATATATATATATATATATATATATATATATATATATATATATATATATATGTTATGAACAATAAAAAATAAAACTAAAAATTTCAGACACACTGGGTTGTGTATTAATATTTTTTGTTTTATTATTTCAGTTAGGTTCCTCGACTAGTTTCGGCCAGCTTGGTCATCAACAGGAGAAAACAATTGCCTGCTTGTTAGTAACAGTGAAGTAACGGAATGAATGACTGTTTCTGAAGAAAGTTAACTTTATCTGTAGTTTTTATTTATTTTTTTTATCGATTTGGTCAGGCCTTGTGCTGGTCAAACGGCCTCTTTCATATATATATATATATATATATATATATATGAAGAAATATATTCTTAAAATGTGCTATATTTATAGGGATAAAGTGCTCAATATCAGAGATAGAGCGTGTGTAAATATACAATTGAACATAGAAATCAACACTTAGAGGCGACAGTCTGTTTAATGCTAGACGTAATAGTCAGGCCAAGTGATGACTTCTATGTTATCTTTATTATTCTACATGCACGATGCAATCGTCAGGTGCTGATTAAAAATTGGCCGTTGCAGAAATTAAATATGTATATTTATATCGTATTTTCGTAACAGTGGACTAGTCCATTAATTTTCGAGGCGGGAATAACATAATAATAATAAAGACCTAAAAATAAAAATCCCTGGGAAATGACAAGGCACCCAACTTTTGGCTATAACATCTGTCATCAATTCATAAAAATCTTGCACACACACACACACACACACACACACACACACACACACACACACACACACACACACACACACAGACAGACATATATATTTAAGCGTTTCACCCCAAGTAAGGCGGGAAGCCACTAGCACGCAAGGGGTTACAGAGAGTTGGAGCGAGAGCAAATAGGAGTGATAGAGGAAAGGATGAAGAGAAGGATAGGGAATAGATAAACGCATTTGGAGACGTCGATTGACATTACATTTGAATAGTTGGAGATTATAGCTATCAGGGAAACAGGAAAAGGGGAGGGAGTTCCACAGGCGAGAAGTTCGAGACATGAAGCTATTGGAGTAGAAGAGACGGCTACATTTAACAGTTTCGACAGTGAAAGGGTCAGAGCGAGATGCCAGCCTAGTTGAGCGCTTAAATTCATGAAGTCTGGGAACCAGCAAAAGCAGCTCATCGGAGCAGTTACCGTGAAAGTATTTTAAAAAAAGACAGAGGGAGGCAGCGGCACGTCTGTGAGAGACCGGCTGCAGACGAGATGCCAGGTCAGGGCCAATTACATTGCATATCCGTCTTTGGATTTTATCAAGAACTTAGAGACAAACAGAAGGGGCTCCAGACCATATATGGCAGCAATACTCCATGCAAGGGCGAATGGTTGATTTGTACATTTGAAAGATCGACTCCGCTAAGAAAAATTTTCTGGTGTGACACAGGGAGCCAAATTTCCTAGCGGTGGACGAAGCTATTGACTCAATGTATTTGTTCCATCTCAGGTCAGTGGACAATATGAGGTCCTCTCGTAGAGTTGAGCGTCATACATATTCTAATGGGAAGTAGCGATGGTTGTGAGGTCAGTTTTTTCTTGAGGCATTAAAGTTAACCAGCCAATTCCTACCCGGCCAGGTTAGTTTTGTTAGCGACACTGGATTTGTTTTTGATGCAGAACTAAATAGTAGTCTCGTCCGCATAGATGCCTATTTGGGATATATATATATATATATATATATATATATATATATATATATATATATATATATATATATACGAGAGTGAATTGGAGAATGAAGTAAGGAAAGCCGTTGGTATAAACCAATGGCTTCTGTTACCAATTATAGACATTTAAGAATATTTGTAGAGATGCCATAATTGATTTTGTTTAGGTTGGGTTTTAACTGTTTGATGTATAATGCTTCGAGTATTTTTAGTTTTTGTCTATTGTTTTCATGTCGAAGTATAGTTGTGTTTTCGACAAGTATTTTACGGAATTGTGTGTGCGGGCAGGCATGTTGTTTTAAATGCCTAAAAATGTTA